GTTCTGGGATATTGATGGTGATATTGGTGCTGTATAGTATTTTTGCTTTTGTTGGTAGGGGGTGATATAGTTTGGCTGTTTCCTCCACCTAAATCTCATGTTGAAATGCAATCCCCAACACTGGAGGTAGAGCCTGGTGGTAACCGTTTGGGTCATGGGGACAGATCTCTCATGGTTTGGTGCTCTCCTTACAATAGTGGGTGAGTTCTCATGAGATCTGGTTAAGTGTATGGCACTCTCCCACTCCCCACTCTCTGTTGCTCCCGCTCTATCACATGAATCCCCTGCTTTGCCTTCTGCCATGAATTAAAACTCCTTGACTCCTCCTCAGGAGCCAAGAAAATGCTAGTGCCATGCTTCCTAGCCTGCAGAACTGTGAGCCAATTAAACCTCTTTTCTTCATAAATTGTCCAGTCTCATGTTTTTCTTTTTAGCAATGCATGAGTGAACTAACACACAAAATTGGTACTAAAGAATGGGGTATTGCTATGAAGATACCTGAAAATGTAGAAGTGACTTTGGAACTGGATAACAGGCAGAGGTTGGAAGAGTTTGGAGGGCTCAGGAGAAGACAGAAAGATGAGGGAAAGTTTGGAACTTCTTAGAGAAGTTAAAAAGACTGGTTAAATGGTTATGTCCAAAATGCTGACAGTGCTATGGACAATGAAAGTTGATGAAGTCTCAGATGGGAATGAGGAAATTATTGGGAACTGGAGCAAGGGTCACCCTTGTTATGCTTGAGCAAAGAAGTTGGCTGCATTCTGTTCATGCCCTAGGGACCTGTGGAAGTTTAAACTTCAGAGTGACAACCTAGGATATCTAGTGGAGCAAATTTCTAAACAATAAACTGTTCAAGAGGTGGCCTGGATGCTTCCAACCACCTTTGGTCAGATGTATGAGCAGAGAAATGACTTAAAATTGCAATTTGTGTTGAAACAAGAAACAGAGCATTTAAGTTTGGAAAATTTGCAGCTTGGCCCTATGGCAGAGAAAGAAAAAGTATTTTCAGGGGAGGAATTCAAGCAGACTGCTGAGCAGCCATGTGCTAGAGAAATTTGCATAACTAAAAGACAGCCAAGACAGTGGGAAAAAGGTCTCACAAGCATTTCAGAGATCTAAGAGGCAGCCGCTCCTATCATAGCCCCACAGACCTAGGAGAGAAGAATGATTTCAACTGCCTTGTGCAGTTTTGGGACAGTGCCGCCTGCATCTAGGCCATGCTATCTCCAGCCACAGCTCAAAGGACCCAGGTACACCTTATGCTGTCACTTATGAGAGCACAAGCCATAAGCGTTGGTGGCTTCCATATGCCATTAAGCCTGCCGTAATGCAGAGTGCGAGAGTGAAAGAGGCTTGGTAGCCTCTGCCCGGATTTCAGAAGATGTATGAAAAAGCCCGGGTGCCAGGCAGAAGCCTGCTGCAGGGACAGAGCTGCCACGTAGAACCACGTAGGTCAGTTCAGAGGGGAAATGCAGGGTTGGAGGCCCCACACAGAGTCTCAAAGAGGGAACTGCTAAGTGAAGCTGTGGGAATGGGATGCTGCCGTCCAGACCCCAGAATGGTAGCTCACTGGCAGCTTGCACCCTGTGCCTGGAAAAGCTTCAAGCACTCAGTTCTAACCCATGAGAGCAGCCATTGGGTCTGAACCCTGCAAAGCCATAGGGGTGGAGCTTCTCAAGGCCTTGGTCACTCACTCCTTGCAGTAGTGTGCCTATGATGTGGGACATGAAGTCAAAGGAGATTATTTTGGAACTTTGAGATTTAATGCCTGCCCTGCTGGGTTTCAAAGTTGCAACAAACTCCAAGCTGGATAAACTCAGTTATCTGGACCTAGATACGTCATAAGCAAAGTGCCAAAAGACAAAGAGACAGTTTTTGACAGCAGCAAGACATGGTGGTTTATCACATGCAAGGGATCTTGAATAAGATTATCAGTTGATTTCTCCTTAGAAACCATGGTGTCTAAAAGGCAATGAGGCCCAATGCTGAAAAATAAAAAGTTCAACCAATCATTCTATATCCAGCAAAACTATCCTTCAAAAATGTAGAAGAAATTAAGGCATTCCAATATAAACAAAAATTAGGAGGGTCCACTGTTGCCAGAACTTCCCTATAACCAATGCCACAAGGAGTTTTTTTAGGTTGAATAGAAAATAACCCAAACCCACATGAAGAAATAAAAAAATAAAAATAAAGGTAACTAAATAAGTAAATATAAAAGATAGCATAAATGTATTTTTGTTGAAGCTTCTTTTACTTTTTAAATCTTTTATAATACAGGGGTAAAAAGCAATAATTATAAATGACAGTTATAGACTCTTAGTTCCAAAATGATGTGGAAGCAGGCTGGCTTCACTCTGTTCCCCCTGTGTTAGGCTGTTCTTGTGTGGCTATAACAAAATATCTGAGGCTGGGTAATTTATAAAGAAAAGAGGTTTAATTGGCTCGTGGTTCCACAGGCTTTACAGGATACACAGTGCTGGTATCTGCTTAGCTTCTGGGGAGACCTCAGGGAACTTTACTCAGGGATGCAGGTGAACTAGGAGCAGATGCGCCACATGGCAGAGTTGGAGCAAGAGAAAGAGAGTTGGGGGTGGGGAGGTGCCATACACTTAAACAACCATATCTCACGAGCCCTCACTCACCATTGCAAAGACAGCACCAAGCTATGAGGGATCTGTCCCCATGATCCAAACACCTCCCACGAGGCCCAGTGTCTGTAACATTGGAGATTATATTTCAACATGAAATTTTGGCGGGGACAAAATCCGAACGACATCATTCTACCCCTCCTCCTGCCCAGCCTCAAATCTCAGGTCCTTCTCACATTGCAAAACACAGTCATGACTTCTCAATAGTCCCCCAAAGTCTTAACTTATTCCAGCATTCACTCAGGACAGATGTTTTCCTAAATGCCTGGAACCAACAAATCTCCCAGTCTTTGCTAAGGAGGGGTGCGCGCGTGCGTGTGTGTGGGGTGTGTGCGTGTGTGCGTGTGTGTACGTGTGTGTGCGTGTGTATGTGTGTGTGCGTGTGTGTGCATGTGTATGTGTGTGCACGTGTGTGCATGTGTGTGCGCATGTGTGTGTGGTGTGTGTACGTGTGTGTGCATGTGTATGTGTGTGTGCGTGTGTGTGCATGTGTGCACACGTGCATGTGAGTGTGTGTGGTGTGTGTGTGCGTGTGTGTACGTGTGTGTGCATGTGTATGTGTGTGCGTGTGCATGTGAGTGTGTGTGGTGGGTGTGTGCATGTGTGCACGCGCGCGTGAGTGTGTGTGATGTGTGTGTGCATGTGCGCACGCGTGTGTGGTGTGTCTGTGCATGTGTGTGCACGCGCGCATGTGTGTGGTGTGTCTGTGTGTCCGTGTGTGCGTGCGCATGTGTGTGGTGTGTCTGTGTGTGTGTGCGCGCGTGTGTGCGCGCGCGTGTGTGTGTGGTGTGTGTGTGCATGTGCGCACGCGTGTGTGGTGTGTCTGTGCATGTGTGCGCGCGCGCGTGTGTGTGGTGTGTCTGTGCATGTGTGTGCACGCGCGCGTGTGTGTGGTGTGTCTGTGTGTCCGTGTGTGCGTGCGCATGTGTGTGGTGTGTCTGTGTGTGCGCGCGCGTGTGTGTGTGGTGTGTCTGTGCATGTGTGTGCGCGCGCGCGTGTGTGTGGTGTGTCTGTGCATGTGTGTGCGCGCGCGCGTGTGTGTGGTGTGTCTGTGCATGTGTGTGTGTGCGCGCGTGTGTGTGGTGTGCGTGTGTGTGCGCGTGCGCGTGTGTGTGGTGTGTCTGTGTCCGTGTGTGCGTGCGCATGTGTGTGGTGTGTCTGTGTGTGTGTGCGCGCGTGTGTGTGTGTGGTGTGTTGGGGCATGCCTTTAACACTCAGGCAGTTTGCATCTATCTCTGTCTTACTCTTCACTTATTCAGAGACTTTAGAGCCTTCTCAGGTTCTTTGTTAGCATCCAGCCGTGTAGAGTTCCAGGATGTAATAGAGCTTTTAAGCCCTGTGGATATCGCCTTTCAGTAGTCTTCCCTCTCCAGTTTTCTGCTTTGTTCATTGTTTTCCCCAAATGTTATTTATCAACAGGAAGCAGCAACTAAAACATTCACCTATGAATCTTTTAGATAAATGTCCTCCGCTTCCCTGGCAGCATCATTAGCCCTGGAGGAGTTCTGAGTCAGGTGAGACGGCGACCAGCCTTTTGAGCCAGTCTGCCAGGGAGACATCAGAGAGGTCACAGTACATTATAAAAGTCTTTGTGAATGAGATGTGTTCTGCTCCATCCAGTACAGGGAATGTGGACACTTCTTTTCATGGCTTCTTACCGATGAGCTCCGGAGTTGGAAATGGAGCTGGAGAAAGTAAAAATGCAACAAATCTCAGGATCCTTATTTCTTACTAACAGCAGATTCAGGATTCAGCTGTTACATCAAGGGCTCTTCTGGTTGTTGCAACCCTTTGGCGAATTTTCAGAGTTCTAAAGAAAGTTGATTCTGACACTTTTGACAGTTTTCTTATTGCTTTTATGGAAGGGCCAAAGTTGGAATTTCTGATTTTTCTGCCATTGTCCTCTCAGCTATTCTTGTATTTATATTTCCAGATGAATGCTGGAGTTATTTGTTCACATTGAAGTTATTGAATGATTAAGATCAATTTGCAGTGAATTAAAATCTTCATAATTTGAATATTTCATCTGGGAGCATAACATGCTTTTCTGCTTATATGTGTTTTCTTATGTATCTTTAAATTTTTAAAAATATATATGCTATCCTTCACAAATTTTAAATTTATCTCTTTTATTTTACTGTTACTTTATATTTTAAATGTTTGTAATAGTTAAGTATATAATAAAAATATATATTTATTTATATTTATTATATTTACCTTTAGTTATCCATAAAGTCTATATTATCCTTTACCTTTTCTAAGAATTTTTTTGTTGGTACAGAGAAAGGCTTTCAATTACCAAATTATGATTTTACTGAACACTTTTATTCATATACCACTTAAGTTTTTTTTTTGTTTGTTTGTTTGTTTTGAGACGGAGTTTTGCTCTTGTTACCCAGGCTGGAGTGCAATGGCACGATCTCGGCCCACTGCAACCTCCGCCTCCTGGGTTCAGGTAATCCTCCTGCCTCAGCCTCCTGAGTAGCTGAGATTACAGGCACGCGCCACCATGCCAAGCTAATTTTTTGTATTTTTAGTAGAGACGGGGTTTCACCATGTTGACCAGGATAGTCTCCATCTCTTGACCTTGTGATCCACCTGCCTCAGCCTCCCAGTGATCCACCCGCCTCAGCCTCCCAATTAAGTTTTTAAAGTAAGTACTCACGTGTAAATAATGGCAACTTAGACATCTAATTCTGACATTTAAGAAAAATATAAAACAAACATGCATAACCTCATGACTTATTGAGCTTTGTCCTGATAAGATCTGTATCCATGTCCCTAAAAGCTATTCAGTATTCATTATTCTAGCTTTTATGATCATTACCACTTTCATTTTATTTTTAATTTTAAAGACATACATTTCTAAAGCGTATGTATTCCTGTTTTGAACTTGTTATGAATAGCACACAGTATAGTTTTATGCTCTGATCATTGTGAGTGAGGCTGCCCTGGGTCTCCTTCTCCATTTCTTTTGCTGCGTACTTGCACACGTTTCGTTGATACACAGTTAGGACAGGACTTGATGGGTCATAGCTACGTGTATTTTCAGCTTTAGTAAATGAAGGCAGTTTTCCAAAGAAGTTACACTAGTTCAAAGACCCACCACCCATGAAAGAGTTTGTTTCTCCACACTTATAAACACTTAGTGTTATCAGTCTTTCAAATTTAATTTTAATCTTTCTTATGTGCATATATTAGCATTAAATGCAAGTGGTGAGATCTTGTTTCCAATCTCATAGGGAAAGCTCTCAACAGTTCACCATTAAGTTTGATATTTGCTCTAGATTTATTTTTAAAATCAAATCAAATAAAAAATAATTACCATTATTTCTGTAATTACTCTTTGTCAAATAAAAAACTTCCTTTTATATCTTGTTTGCCAAGAATGTATGCTAAATTTTAACACATTTTTCTGTTTTAGTAAATTAGAATGATTAGAATGGTGTCTCTAACAATGCTGAACTCACCTTTCATTCCTACAATAAATCCAACTTGGTCTTAGTTTATTCACATTTTAAAATATTGAGGGATTTTGTTCGATAACTTTTTATTAAAAAAAAATTAATGTTTATGATTGACCTGGACATAACTTTTAATATACGTGTGTGTGTGTGTGTGTGTGTGTTTTCTTTCCTTACAATAGTCTTGTTAGTTTTTTAGTGTGAAGGTGTGGTTTTATCGTTCCCTCTTTATCCATCCTGAAATAATGTGAACCTTATCCAGACTTGGATCTGTCAGCAATCAATGTAGATTGCCAGCTGCTGTTCCCTTTTGCTCTTATTGTATGTCCCATAGTTCTGAGATAAGAGCTAAAGCCAACTGCAATGCTGTTTCTTTCAGTGGCTCTGCTCTACAGAAGTGAGATAAGAGCTAAAGCCAACTGCAATGCCGTTTCTTTCAGTGGCTCTGCTCTACAGAAGTGAGATAAGAGCTAAAGCCAACTGCAATGCCGTTTCTTTCAGTGGCTCTGCTCTACAGAAGTGCTGCTTTTGCCTCCTATGCTGTCTGGAGCTTTAATGCTGGGAGTCATGACAGCAGAGACATTTTCAACCTTTTTAGTGCAGTGCCCATGTCTGTTGTCACAGGGCTTGGCAAAGGTAGACACTCAGTCTATGTTAGTTCAACAAGTGAATGAATGACCACAGTTTCCAGCACACGTTGCTGTTGCTAAGTAATTACTTATAAATAAACTCATTGTTTGTAAGTAATTACTGTGCAGAATGTTCTATTCCTAGACTCTCCTACTTAATGCCTGGTTGTTTTCTGGAAGTTCCTGCCTTTGAATCCATGTGTATGTGTTAACATGGATAAATGAGACCTACAGTTTATATGACTCCCCAAAATTTTGAATTAGGGAATTAACACTGGGGTTCTGAATGTAGAATTTTGAAACATGGCTGCAAATCCTTCGACACTTCTTTCCTCAAGAGGTGGGCATCTGTGTTCCCTCCCTTTAAGCCTGGGTTCCCTGTGACTACTCTGACCAACTGTGCTTGGCAGGAAGGAGGCTCTACAATTTCCAGGGCCAAGCCATACAAACAGATGCAGCCTCTAGGAATCCTTTGTGTGCCAGAATATTCTCTCTTGGAAACTGGGGTGCACTGTGAGGGGCCCCTCACTGAGGCCACCATGCTGGTGACTGTGTAAGTGCCCCCAGAAATTCCTGCTGAGCCCACCCCCAACAGAGCACCGCAGAGTGACTGCTGTCAGCACAATGCAAAACAGAAGTCTCACCCACAAAACAGTGACGTGTAGGAAAATGGTTATTATTTTAAACCACTAAGTTTGAGGGTAGCTTGTGGTGCAACAATAAGTAACTGGAACATTTAAAAAAATTTTGTAAATGTATTCTTTATTTCATGAAAGTATATTTTCTTATCCAATGTCCATCTCATTTAGAGCAGGTGGGGATTTCATACATGCCTTGGCATCGCTGTTCTGTTAGTCTTTGTTTTCTGTCTTTACAGATTTTTTTTTGACATGAAAAGACTGCTTCAAAACTACTAGCCATGAACTGTTTTTCCATGTTCTTTCATCAAACACGACTTCCTTTTAATACAAAATTAAAGGTGATTCAAGCCATCACCTCTACTATCTAAAGAGGTAAAAATAGACAAATGGCTCTGTTGCATTCTACTGTTAAAATGCTCATGTGTGCAGCATTTAAACAACCTGAAAATAACATCGTTAAAATCTGGCTTACATGTGGTCTTGAAAGCCAGTGGGATTGACTTATGATCTCTCACTAGCTCTTATTAAACATTTTATTGCTTTACTAATCTTAGCTCCTCTAGAATAAAGTAGCTAAATTAATTAACATTATAAATTAAAGTTCCCTTGGGCTCTCTAGTGGTACTTATATTTCGTAGACTTGGTAGGTTTTAAAGTTTAATTTAATTTAATTTAAGTGTTGGTCATTCTAGGATACAGAACTCTTTAAAAATTCTAAGTTAAATTTTATTTAGGAATCATTACACATAGATATAAAGTCAAAATAACATTTCATTATTTTAAATCAAAGTATTGGACTTTTGAAATATAGACAAGCTATTTTTTGTGTATTAACAATAGTTTATTATATTTCCAAGACATGTGGGTATAAAATTTCCACACTTGATAAGAAAACACTACAATTTTGCAAATTGCAAGCTATTATCATTTGGAGGTCAATTTAAAAAATATATTTGTCAGTTATACTCCTATTTAAAGGGAAATAATTTATAATAATTTATATATACTGGTTATTGCTATTTGTTCTATTATTTGAACTTACATCTTTTATTTGAAAAACATATGTAAACTGCCATCTGCAGACACGTGAGTGTGACAGCCTGTATTTGGATGAAAGTCCTTACTGAGATCCTTGCTTCCCCAATTGCAATATTTTATGAAGATGCCACTTCCCTTTTATGAAAGCAGTAAACCAACGGCCATAGACTGTAATGTTTAAAGATTATAAAACAGTAAATTATTCATTCACCCCACCATCCATCAATTATCTTATGAATGATGGCAGATATGAGTAGATAAAGATATTAAGTAAAATTTGGGTACTCAGATAATATCTAGAGCAAGAGTTGGCAAACTTTTTTTTTTTGTAAATGGCCAAATAGTAAATATTTTAGGCTTTGTGGATCAGGAGGCAAAACTGACTATATTATGTATGCACTTATAGCATAAGAAAGAAAACAAGTTTATACAATATTTTCATAGGCAATATTCAAAATATACTAATAAAAACCGACTATAATTTTCTTCTTATATTACAGATCCGTGAAAGAGAGAATGAAATTATATTTTTGGGGAAGGCAACATTTTGTTTATTTGGGGTGCAAAGTTAGCATTCCCTAGCATCAAAATCGATTGCAAATGTTAATCTGTTAGTGCCGATCTGTAATGAAATTTTACATATTTCATCTTTGAAAATGTCTCTTCACACAAAGAGGTACTGCCAAACATTTATATAAAACCACAAATATTTGATTTTGGTGGAACATGTTTATTGTTTGATAAAGATTCAGAGAATGCTATTAGATTTTACACTTGATATTTGCCTGTTAAGATCTCATTACATTGCAGAATAATCACTTTCAATAGAAGGTTATATAAAAGCTCTTCAAAGGCAGCTAAATGGATTTTGAAATGTGGAAATCACCTTTGCTTTTGTATCAAAGTCTGAAACATACCACTGGAACAGAACTGGAACTGTGGCTTGAGATTGGAAAATATTTCTGCTTCAAATGTGTGTGGGAAGGGTTATCTTTCTTCTTGTAACTTTTGACAGGATGAGCAGTGTATAAAGCTGCTGATGCTGCTTGTGATTCAAATGTTAGTTGTCATCAAAATGAGTTTACCACAGGAAAAGTTTCACATATAAATTTTTTTTGCCTTGTAATCTTAGGTTGAATTCCTTAAGAAATAGTATCAAGCAATTCCATAGTCACTCAGTGTTTGATAAAAATGGAGGAATAAATTTTTCTCATTCAGAAAACTTTGTCTTCAACCTGAGCTCAGCAACAGTAATAAAACCTGACTGTTGTGGAGCCCTGGGGCTGCTGTGTGGAGGGCAAGTCAGGACATGCAGCTTCTATTTCTAACAAAACTTTAAGGATAAAGTTAAATATACCAGAGTGAATAAAGTCCATCAGTGATGCTGGTGGTTTAATGACACGTGATAGATTCAAGTATTTTCTACAAAGTATCTACTGATAAATAATATAATACATAAGTTTTAAATACTTTACATTTTCACAAGCATTGTAAACTTGTTTAAGCTTTTTTCTCCTCATATTTTCTTAATATGTTTACCACCTGCAGTTGTTATACATCTTAGCGGATTCCACTTCAGATTGTACTGAATCTTTGTCTTCCCACATCGCTTCAGAATATTATTGTGTGCAATTGTTCGAGGCAGACAATTCATAGAGACTAATTTTCAGTCACTTTACACTATTCACTCTTAAACAACAACTAATTAATAAAATTTGTTGAGTCATAGAGTCAAAAATAAATAAATTAAAAATAATTTGCCGTCAACACTGAACATCTCTTCTAGCCACAAACCTGACAGTCCCTTATGAGCTGAATTAGCTCTGATGTATTTTTTTTGGCTGCTGCAATCAACCATGATTTAATCAACACACAATTGGTAAATGGCTTGTAGCTTGATTTTTTTTTTTTTTTTTAATACTGTGTGCTGAGATGTTCTGTTTTAATTGTTTTTTTTCTCATCACTGCTGTCCTGTGAGTTGCGCCTATTTTATGTAAGCCTGGTCTGGTCATGTAGATGCTTCTGGAATCTTTTGAATACTGTGTGTTTAGATGTTCTAAGTTTTTGTTTGTTTGTTTTTCTGATCACTGCTGTCCTGTGAGTTGGGCCTATTTTGTGTGAGCCTGGTCTGGTCACGTAGATGCTTTCAGCTCCATTGGAGTGCACAGCGTATTAAGCACAATGCTCTGCCACTCAACTGTATAAAAATAATCCACACTCTGCTGTGCCCTAAAAGCATGACATTTGAAGTCCACTTTTCTCTTCCTGTTTTGGCATGATGGCTATGTTATGAAAATTTAAAATAAACCATTCACAGTGCAGAAGTACATGCAGCAGTTGGAAGTCAGTTTATAATGGCATTGCTGTGACCTGTCGAGTGGCTAGCACAGTTGTGAAGTTGTGAGAGTGCCACATGTGGTCTCAATCACAGCCACTCCACTTCACCATGTATCAAGAAAACAGCCACAGACAACATGTACTCAAGAGGATGTATCTATGTGCCAATAAAACTTTATTTATGAACATTGAAACTTGAATTTTATGTAATTGTCATGTGTCACAAAATATTCTTTAGTGTTTTCAACCATTTCAAAATGTAAACATTATTCTTATCTACTGGATATGCAAAAACAGGCAATGAGAAGGTCTGTTTCATGAGCCATAGTTTGCTGAGAACTTTCCTCCTTATAGAAGAAAGTTACAGGGAAGCCTGGTGGGGTTTTCTATTAGCAGACAAGAAGTGTAGAGTTTCTGTCCTGGGTGAGGGATCTAGGAGCACCTATGTCAACCCTGTTTCTGGCTGATACGCTCCAGGTGACACTATGTCTTCACTCATCTGAAAGGATAAAAGCTCTCAGTGAGCCCCATCAAGATAGAGTGGTGTCATGGGTGGTTCCAATGAGAACATCCGTGAAGCAGAGTGTGCACTGATGTGTGTGCCCAGAACCACTATGGGTGTGAACTTGCAAGGGAATTGATGTTCTTTCCCCAGTCAAAACAGTCTTACATACATGCTGCTTCTTCCTTTCCTCACCTTTATCTCCTTTCAATGAGTCAGGTCAAAAAGAACAGGAAAGGGGGAGAAAAGGCAGATTACAGATGCCACAGTGTCCACATTTGTGCTTACCTTATTCTAAATCAAACTTTTTGGGAAACAGAGTTGGAGACACAGAGTAGAATTTGGAAAATCAAATCTGAAAATGGAAAGATTAGTGTTTTTTAGGACTCAAAATATTTTAATTTTATTTCTAAAACATTACATAATTTAATGTTTAATCAGATTTTATTTTATACCTTTAGAATTCAAGTGTTTGGATTCAATTCTAATCCTTATATAGATGCACCTAAATGGAGTTTATATGCTACATAATAAAGTAAAGTCCATATCATTTAGTACTTAATAAAGGTACACATTGAGGTATACCAAATTAATGAATGGACTCCTAATCAAATCAGAAGAACACATATGGAAATGGTCCAATAACCAAGCTGCATGTGGTAATATCTGGTTCTCTGTCGCTATATCTCAACAGATAACATATCTCTGATCCATGTTATATATATATTTTTAATTGTACGTTAGGTTCTGGGGCACATGCACAGATGATGTAGGATTGTTACACAGGTACATACATGACAAGGTGGCTTGCTGCCTCCATCCCCCCATCACCTATATCTGGCATTTCTTCCCATGTTATCTCTCCCCAACCTCCCCACCCCCCACTGTCCCTCTCCTAGTCCCTGCAACAGACTCCAATGTGTGATGCTCCCCTCCCTGTATCCGTGTGTTCTCATTGTTCAATACCCGCCTATGAATAAGAACATGTGATGTTTGACTTTCTGTTCTTGTGTCAGTTTGCTGAGAATGATGGTTTCCAAGTTCATCCATGTCATTACAAAGGACACAAACTCATCATTTTTTATGGCTGCATAGTATTCCATGGTGTACATATGCCACATTTTCTTTGTCCAGTCTATCAACAGTGGGCATTTGGGTTGGTTGCAGGTCTTTGCTATTGTAAACAGAGCCACAAGGAACATATGTGTGCATGTGACTTTATAATAGAAAAATTTATAATCCTTTTGGTTCATACTCCATAATGGGATTGCTGGGTCAAATGGAATTTCTATTTCTATCCTTGAGGAATTGCCACACTGTCTTCCACAATGGTTGAACTAATTTACACTCCCACCAACAGGTAAAAGTGTCCTATTTCTCCACATCCTCTCCAGCATGTTGTCTCCAGATTTTTTAATGATCACCATTCTAACTGGAATGAGGTGGTATCTCAATGTAGTTTTGATTTGCATTTCTCTAATGACCAGTGATGATGAGCATTTTTTCATATGTTTGTTGGCCTCATAGATGTCTTCTTCTTCTTCTTCTTCTTTTGAGACAGAGTTTCACTCTTGTTACCCAGGCTGGAGTGCAATGGCATGATCTCGGCTCACTGCAACCACCACCTCCTGGGTTCAGACAATTCTTCTGCCTCAGCCTCCTGAGTAGCTGGGATTACAGGCACAGACCACCGTGCCCAGCTAATTTTTTGTATTTTTAGTAGAGACGGGGTTTCACCATGTTGACCAGGATAGGATGGTCTCGATCTCTTGACCTTGTGATCCACCTGCCTCAGTCTCCTAAAGTGCTGGGATTACAGGCGTGAGGCACCACACCTGGCCATATGTCTTCTTTTGAAAAGTGTTCATATCCTTCACCCACTTTGTGATGGGGTTGTTTATTTATTCCCAATCTGTTGGGTGCCAGTTCACTCTAAGATTGTTTCTTTTGCTGTACAGAAGCTCTGGAGTTTGATTAGATCCCATTTGTCTATTTTGATTTTTGTTGACAATGTTTTTTGTGTTTTACTCATGAAGTCCTTGCCTATGCCTATATGTGGAATGGTTTTGCCTAGGCTTTCTTCTAGGGTTTTTATGAGGTTAGGTCTTATGCTTAAGTCTTTAATCCATCTGGAGTTAATTTTAGCATAAGGTGTCAGGAAGGGGTCCAGTTTCTTCTTTCTGTACATGGTTAGCCAGTTTTCCCAACACCATTTATTTAACAGGGAATCCTTTCCCCATTGTTTGTTTTTCTCAGGTTTGTCAAAGATCAGATGGTGGTACATGTGTGGCATTGCCTCTGAGGCCTCTGTTCTTTTCCATTGATCTATACCTCTGTTTTGGTACCAGTACCATGCTGTTTTGATTACTGTAGCCTTGTAGTATAGTTTGAAGTTGGGTAGAGTGATGCCTTCATCTTTGTTCTTTTTGCTTAGGATTGTCTTGACTGCGCAGGCTCTCTTTTGGTTCCATATGAAGTTTAAGGTGGCTTTTTCCAGTTCTGTGAAGAAGGTTATTGGTAGGTTGATGGGGATAGCATTGAATCTATAAATTGCTTTGAGCAGTATGGCCATTTTCATTATACTGATTCTTCCTAACCATGAGTGTGGAATGTTTCTCCATCTGTTTGTGTCCTCTCTTATTTCCTTGAGCAGTTGCTTATAGTTCTCCTTGAAGAGGTCCTTTACATCTTTTGTTAGTTGTATTCCTAGATATTTTATTCTCTTTGTAGCAGTTGTGAATGGGAGTTTGCTCTTGATTTGGCTCTGTTATTGGCGTGTAGGAATGCTTGTGATTTTTGCACATTGATTTTGTATCCTGAGACTTTGCTGAAGTTGCTTATAAGTTTAAGAAGATTTTGGGATGAGATGATGGGGTCTTCTAAATATACAATCATGTCATCTGCAAATAGAGACAGTTTAACTTCCTCCTTTCCTAATTGAATAACTTTTGTTTATTTTTCTTGCCTGATTGCTCTGGCTAGAACTTCCAATACTATGTTGAATAGGAGGGGTGAGAGAGGGCGTCCTTGTCTAGTGCCAAATTTCAAACGGAATACTTCCAGTTTTTTGCTTATTCAGTATGATATTGGCTGTGGGTTTGTTGTAAATAGCTTCTATTATTTTGAGATACATTCCATCGGTACCTAGTTTACTGAGAGTTTTTAGCATAAAGCACTGCTGAATTTTGTCGAAGTCCTTCTCTGCATCTATTGAGATAGTCGTGTGGTTTTTGTCTTTGGTTCTGTTTATGTGGTGGATTACGTTTATAGACTTATGTATGTTGAACCACCCTTGCATCCCCAGGATGAAGCCTACTTGATTGTGATGGATAAGCTTTTTGCTGTGCTGTTGCAATTGGCTTGCCAGTATTTCATTGAAGATTTTTGCATCTATGTTCATCATGATATTGGCCTGATGTTTTCTTTTTTTTTTTGTTGAGTCTGTGCCAGATTTTGGTATCAGGATGATGTTGGTCTCATAAAATGATTTGGGAAGGATTCCTTCCTTTTCTATTGTTTGGAATAGTTTCAAAGGAGTGGTACCAGCTCCTTTTTGTGTGTCTGGTAGAATTCAGCTGTGAACCCATCTGAACCTGGACTTTTTTTGGTTGGTAGGCTATTAATTACTGCCTGAACTTCAGACCTTGTTATTGGTCTATTCAGGGTTTCAACTTCTGCCTGGTTTAGGATTGGGAGGGTGCAAGTGTGCAGGAATTTATCCATTTCTTCCTTGTTTACTGGTTTATTTGCATAGAGTTGTTTGTAGTAATCTCTGATGGTAGTTTGTATTTCTGTGGAATCAGTGGTGATATCCCCTTTATCTTTTTTATTGCATTTATTTGATTTCTCTCTTTTTTTATTAATCTGGCTAGTAGTCTGTCTATTTTGTTGATCTTTTCAAAAAAGCAGCTCTTGGATTTACTGACTTTTTGAACGTTTTTTTGTGTATCTATCTCCTTTAGTTCTGCTCCGATTTTAGTTATTTCTTGTCTCCTGCTAGCTTTTTATTTTATTTTATTTTAATCTTGCTCCTCTAGCTCTTTCAATTTTGATGATAGGGTGTTGACTTTGATCTTTTCTCACTTCTCATGTGGGCATTTATTGCTGTAAATTTCCC